CCGATCATTCGGACTTGAAAAAATATGGTGAGAAATATTTTCATATTGAGATCTCACTTTAGTGTCAATTTTATGTCAGATGTTTCTCCTTAACAGCTCAGATAATTTGGTAATTTGATAATTTGGGAGAGTTTGCTGAGAAATGTTTGTGTTCATACTGAGGTCTCTGACCTTCTTTCCAGATTTTGGTGTCTTTGGTGGTAAATTTGAGACCTTTTGAGATCTCTTGTTAAACTCCAAAGGATCTTCCTAAATTCCTTTTAGGAGAAATAAATCAGACATACTATTGATCTAAAGAGCTATAAAATTAATCATGAATTCCTATTGAGACCTCATTTAAGTATCAACGTTGTCTCAGGTGTTTCTTCTTAAAATTCCTAAGGAATGATTTGGGTTTGAGTTCATATTGAAACTTAATATGATTGCACACTTTGAATATCCAAGCAAGTCTGAGACATAGTTGAGATTTCTTCTGAACCTCCAGAAAAGGTCTTTTTCTCAGAAGAAAGATCCACAAATTTCTCCATTTAACCTCAAAGCTAGGAGAAAGAGTTGACATATTGAAGAGATCTTTTTTTCCGGCGAGGTTGGGGGGGTGGGGGTGTTGTTTATTGCAAGGATAGGTGAATATCTCTCTCTTCAGCTCGCACGAGCCACCAGGCAAATAAACTCAGCGCATCAAATTTAAATAAATAGTTTTTTCACCTGGGTGAAGATATTTACAGCAGTGAAACAGCTGCTAATGAACTAATGTGTCCACGCTGGGCGGCGCGGGAAAAAATAGCACACTAATAGCTGGCCATTACATACGTGTTCTAAAACAATCCACAGGGAACATCGGATCACAATGTGTTTTTACCTTCCGTTTATTAGTTTGTGACCTGAAATGGGGGTGAGTTGATCAAAATAACATGCAGAGAAAGGCGGGGTCTTTATTGTAGATGTCAATTAATGTATCTCGTTCTCTTCTGAAAGTCGATTTCAATTACTTCGGCATGAGCAAACAAAGGGTGTTAGCAGACAAGGCCTCTTCTCTCCCTCCATAACACTCTCACCTTAATTGCTACTTTGTGTCAATAAAGAGCCGAATGAGGGGACGCTATTTCTCCATTTAACCACAAAGCGAGGAGAAATAGTTGACATATTGAAGAGATCTTTTTTTCCCCTTTCCTATGGATCACCAGTGCACTAACACAAAAGAAAAAAAGCGCAAATCGAATACCAAAAGTCATCGCAACCCCATAAAACATTTCAAATAGAGTGTCATAGTTACTTTTTACCCCAAACGCATGCAGGTACGTACATGAGGCATCCCATTCGAACATATCTCTGTGTTGTCGGTATCAGTGTGAGAATGAAAGCATGGTGTTTTAGCTGTCAAACGCTGCTGTTTTTTCTTGTTTACTGTTGCACGGTCTGTCAGCCATGGCCTGCGGTACTTCTTTCTTTAATAATACATCTCAGAGTGAGTAATGCCATTTGGATAGAGGGAGCTGCGCGCCTGGCCTTTGCTCCCTGCACCTCTCCTCTCTCTATCCCTGGAGTGTGTTTCAACCCACGTACGTTTGAAGGAATTCTATTTGCCGGATGCCCGCGTACTCGTGTGCGCTAGCGTATGTGTGTTTATAAGCTTGTTGAATTGAAATACAGCCAGGCAGGCGAGGTTGGGGGGGTGGGGGTGTTGTTTATTGCAAGGATAGGTGAATATCTCTCTCTTCAGCTCGCACGAGCCACCAGGCAGCGCATCAAATTTAAATAAATCTTTTTTTTTTCGCTCGGGCGTAGATATTTACAGCAGTGAAACAGCTGCTAATGAACTAATGTGTCCACGCTGGGCGGCGCGGGAAAAAATAGCACACTAATAGCTGGCCATTACATACGTGTTCTAAAACAATCCACAGGGAACATCGGATCACAATGTGTTTTTACCTTCCGTTTATTAGTTTGTGACCTGAAATGGGGGTGAGTTGATCAAAATAACATGCAGAGAAAGGCGGGGTCTTTATTGTAGATGTCAATTAATGTATCTCGTTCTCTTCTGAAAGTCGATTTCAATTACTTCGGCATGAGCAAACAAAGGGTGTTAGCAGACAAGGCCTCTTCTCTCCCTCCATAACACTCTCACCTTAATTGCTACTTTGTGTCAATAAAGAGCCGAATGAGGGGACGCTAAAAAGTAAAAGAGAAAAGCGGATGATTTTTTCATCTGCCGTACGTCTTTGTGCTGAGCTCATCTGGCCTTGAAGGGCCGAAAACAGAATCATCCAGACAAAAGAAAAAAATCACAAATTGAATATCAAAAGTCATCGCAACCCCATAAAACATTTCAAATAGAGTGTCATAGTTACTTTTTACCCCAAACGCATGCAGGTACGTACATGAGGCATCCCATTCGAACATATCTCTGTGTTGTCGGTATCAGTGTGAGAATGAAAGCACGGTGTTTTAGCTGTCAAACGCTGCTGTTTTTTTCTTGTTTACTGTTGCACGGTCTGTCAGCCATGGCCTGCGGTACTTCTTTCTTTAATAATACATCTCAGAGTGAGTAATGCCATTTGGATACAGGGAGCTGCGCGCCTGGCCTTTGCTCCCTGCACCTCTCCTCTCTCTATCCCTGGAGTGTGTTTCAACCCACGTATGTTTGAAGGAATTCTATTTGCCGGATACTCGCGCGCTCATGTATGCGAGAGCGTGCACTCGTGTTGAGAGAGAGAGAACAAGAGCGCCTCTCCTCCCCCTCTTCCTCCGGCTCTCATCCCTCCATTTCTTCTCTATTTTCGCCGATTTGCTTTGTTTCGTGCCTAATGTTAATTAGACGACTATAGCTTGATAAAGAATTGTGTTTTTCCTGCAATAATTGCTCCGTGTGTCGTCGCAATATGGTCCAGCTGTCTGGGCCTTCCTGTTTGGACCGTGACGGAATGGTCAACAGGGGGCAGTACACCGCTTTCCATGGCGTGAAATTCAACATGTCTGATTTCTTTGTCTTCTGGCCTGTTAAAAGCCAGTTACCAGAGTTGCTTTCTTTTGCCATTTACCTTGAATATTGAATATCATATTGATATTATTGATGTGATTTTTATGATGTTGAAGTGGAAATGGTAGCGAATTGTTGCGGTGTAGTCAAGTGTATGTATATGTATGTGTGTATGTGTGTGTGCAGGGTGCGATTTGTGAACAAACCAGAGGAAAAAAATATTTTTTTCCCCCCTTGAAAATATATCACAAAATCACAAATCACAGTGGATCTATAAATAAATAAATAAATAAATATATATATATATATATATATAGAGCCTATATGCTAGCTTTGTTTATGCAGCACTTATGTGAGAAGTGTGAAACAGCCCTTATTTTGAGTATTTGCTGTCTTCTGTCCTCAGAGAGCTGCCACACTCGCCTCGAAACCTACAGGCCAGCCTGAACGCCAACGACAGCCGCAGCGTGGATCTGTCCTGGATGAGACCCTTCGATGGAAACAGCCCCCTACTGCATTATGTGGTGGAGCTTTCAGAGAACAGTAAGATAAACCAAGGGTTATTTATTGTAAAGGAATATATGAAAACATTTCACAAAAGTTTTACATTTTTGAACACATTCTGGTTGTCAAACAGTGGTTAAGGTGATGATCTACACTTTGCTAGGACACCTGTGTGAATTTGTGAGTAACTTAGGTTGACCTGGGAACAGAACCCTAGTGCCCACCCATTTTTTCAGCAGCCTTGGTTCCAGAGGTATTTTTTTCCAGCAAGTTTTCCAATAGGAATTTAGGGAAAAAAATCTAAAAATTAAAGAGTTATAAGCCATGAATCAAACCAACCAGCTGTGATGTGAATCATATACAAACATTGGGCCAAAATACAAAGATACAACACTATCTATGTGTGTGTGTGTGTGTATATATATATCTATATGTATATGTATACACACATTTGTGTGTGTGTGTGTATTTAATATACAAATACACACACTCACATACACACACACACACATACACACACACACACACGCTGAATGGAATCATTTGCTTAATTTGATACAATAAAAATGTTTTCCTTAATATTAACCAAAAATTTTCACCATTTCTGCATGTTTTTGATTATTCACAGTCAAAAATGTGTAGAAAATCTTCCAAATCCTAACTGTAAGGAATATTTATAGGTATGTTTGTAAAGAATATTTCTGTATAGATCTATATATGCTATATTATGATAAAATGATGTCATATAGGTTCATTATTCCCATCTATCTGATGGGAATAATCTCATATGTGAAGAAAGCCTATTTTTAATAATTTTAGGTTTTTTAATCGGAAATGTCATGCTCAAAAAGTGAAATTGGATGCATTTGTTGTTTTTAAGCCCAAAACCTAAAATTTTTCCTTTCCTGCTGGCATTCTCAACACTTTCTAAGATGGATACTGACTGTTTTTCACTCTGACAGAAGCACAAATCCAGCTTAATAAACGTCTGTATGTGTTCACAATTAAATAAACAATCTATTATTTATTTTCTCTGTGCCTACAGTGCCGTGTCAGTCACCATATGCTGGGAGAGAGGAGCAGGGAGTCGTATCACGATGGTAGTTTTTTGGCGTCGTGAGGGGGTGGGGGGGGGGCAGAGCTGAGGGCTCACGGTGCATGTAGCACATCAGATCTCCCTCAATTAATCCAACATTAGGTGCATGGGATCCACGAGTCAGTGCTTTTGGAAAGCATGTGTGGCTCAAATCTAATTATTCTCTCCCTTCCTTTGAGCCAGAGAGGGTGGAGAGAGATAGAGAGAGAAAGAGAGAAAGAGAGAGAGTGGCCGTCCACGTAGCTATAGGTTTTGTTATGCTGTGGTTTCTCTCTCTCTCCCTCGCTCGCTCCGCTCACTCCGAACCCCCTTCTACCCCCACCTCCTCCTCTCTCTCTCACTCATTCTCCATCTGTCTCTCACACACACACACACTCTCCAAACACTCTCTCTCTCCTCCTCTGCCTCTCTCTCTCCCTGTTTGTCTCTCCCTCCCTCAGCTTCACTCGCTCTTGTGCTGTAAGTTCATTTGCTGTGTCAAGCAACAACTGGCTCGGGAGTGGGCATTGGGTTTTGATCCTTTTGTCAAGCGTCCCCTCTGCGATGTGTACCGCATCTACCTGCACACCACGGGACTGGTCGCCTGGCTCTCTCTAACATTGCCGTACCGTCCTGGGTTTATCACGATTGGGCATCCCACCTTGCTGAACCGGGCGGCATGATGAGATGCTGAAGGTTTGACGGGGTAAGTCGCATCCACATGTGGACATCGGTCCAGTTCTTTTTCATCTTTTTTTTTCCAAATATATTGATTGTTTTTTGTCAGTTGTTTCAATAGTGTGTGTCGTTGTTTTTGGCCATTTTTGCCGGTGTGGTCCACCACACCTCCTGATGCTCGTGTCAAGTGTCTCATGAAATTACCATATTCATGGGCTCCATTCAATTAAATCGCAATCAGTAAAGGGTCCAGCTCGAAGTGTGTGTTTTTTTTTCTTTTAGTGTGGGGTGGACTAGTGCAGTTCGCTTAAATAATGGAAAAAATTCCATTATTTAAAAAAAAATGTTAATATAAAAAGTGAGAGAGTGAATGGGTTCTTGCATGAAGAATAAAACAAATTGTAGGAATATATATATATATATATATATATATATATAATTCAAGAGGTAAAGAAAGGGATGGACCCAGAGGAACTTTGGCAAAGACAAAAAAAAAAAAATCCATGCATGGAGGCCATTGATTAACTCCTGGAGTTCTGGGGGGATTTGGAAGAGGGGTTGTGTGTGTGTGTTTGTGTAGCTCCAGAAATGGACAGAGAGAGTGAAAGCCCTGGGGCTATAGCACTGGTGGAGTGTGCCCTGCGTCAGGGTGGCTGTGTGTGTGTGTGTGTGTGTGTGAGGTGCGTCTGATGGTTTTGCAGGCTGAGGGTCTGGAGAGCGAGCGAGCAGCTGGCTGCTACACTGCCGGTGTGTGCCCGTACGCTGGCTTTTGTTGCGTTTGTGCTCGAGTCCAGCTTCTCCCTCTCCATCTGCCTCCGTTAGGTTCTCCTCCAGTTTCTTGTGCTGCCTTCTCTTTCTCTCTGTTGGGTTTCGAGACGTGGATTTCAGCATTGAGAGCTGATTGTGTTTTTCTCATTTTGTGAATGAACGGTGTAAAATAGAGAAAGCTATTTGGGTAGGTACGTAGACTATAATTCAGTGGGTTATTTTTTTATTTTTTTTTTAGGTGTCATTTTTGCATGAAATGGAGGGAAAACTGATGGGATAATATAATAATGTTTATATTCTTAAAAATTACTTTTTGTTTTGCTTGTTAAATTTTTTATTTTTTTTAAATCTGTTTTATTTTGTTATTTTGTTGTTTTTAAATTGTGACCCTGTGTTTTATTGATTAAAATAATATTCTGTAAATTGAGACACAAGCTATTTATAAGGGAATTATAATAAGAGTACAATTTTGCATGAAAATGAAACAACCATAAATAAGTCCTGTTAATAAAAAATAAAAAAATAAAAATAACAGAATAAGTTGAAATGTGTAAATTGTATTCAAGCAAACCTTTTAAATAAAATATAATTTTTACACAATTATGTTTGTCAGCTTAAAAACATCTTTATATGTTAAAATTTGTGTGACACCATGATGAAAAAGCAGAAATTGCTAAATGGACTGAATTTGACTTAATATTAGTAAATATCAGACCTATTATATAAAGAAATTCACAATTCTCTATGTAATATGATTCATTTAATATGCATTACAACTTGCTTTTTTCTATAAAAAAAAAAAAGGTTTCTCTCATAGACTAATCACACAGTTTAGCCCCCACCCCCTTCTTCTTTTTTTTCCCCTCCCCCTGTCATCCTCAAGTGGGGTATAGAGGGGGGCTGCCATGCTTCATTTGAGTCCATGTCTCCATATAGAATTCTCCTCACGGTGCTAATGGACTATTTGGCAAATTTTTTTCCCATTTCTATATCATTTAGACAGATGAGATGTGCAGCATGTGATGAAGTGGACCATAATAGCATTTAGATCTTGCGCGTTCCGCTCTATTTTAACCCCGGCGGTCTGTGTTTTTAGGTGAACCCGCTACTGTGGACTATCATCATCATCAGAATCATCGCAGTGGCAATGGGAGTCAGGACATGGATGCTAGCCGGAGGACCTCCGCGGGGGTCCTTGCATCCCAGGTGAGTTTATGCTGTTGGGGGGGGTGGATTACCCATAACCCCCTTTCCACCACCTCTGCCCCATATCCCCCACTCCTTCATTAAATGCACCTTTCCCCGAGTGGCCCTGTGAGAGCACAGATTGCTGGGAGGAAATAGCACCCAAAAAAAAAAAAGGAAAAAACACTTGCCACATTTCTTGAGGCGTTTACTGAACAAAAATGCACTGTTAATTTCTGTTTGCAGACGAGCCATTGAGAAGCCCTTGCCTTGCGCTACAAAGCGTCTTCAATCAATTGTTTTGAAAAGGCCTTTCCGTTTTCCGACGATGCCGGCGGTTCTGTTGTTTCTCTCTGTAAAAGACTCTCTTCGGTGACGGGTATTCTTGGGTGGATAATACGGCTCTCGTTGTTATTGATTAAGAATACGAGTAGTCGAGGAGAGTCATGTCGGCGGCGACTGCAATGGACTAGAGAGAGCGTTGAATCCAGAAGGCCCACCTGCCTGCACACACACATGCGTTTGCTAACGCCGAGGTTCACGCCCACATCCATTTATTGAGTCAGCGAAGCTGCATTTCCTGTTTGATGCTTGTGCTGTTGATTTATCCGGCTACTCCTGCTACACATCTTTTCAGCCAGCGGAAAGGAAAAACTGGGGGTTTTATGATTCGCCGTCCTCACCCCAAAGGCTGTATATTGTAATGTCCCAGGCGGAGTTGTAGATGCAAATGTGTTCGGTTTGTGCCATATATTCTTTTCTCAGGACCGCACACACTCTACCTTTTTAATGCAAATTGATTTTGAAATGACATTTATCGTGCAGGGTTTCCATATGGAGCCCCGAGAGGGATGGAGGGGGGAAAAAATTGAATGAAATGTCCACGAAGCCACTGACAGCTAAATTTATGCGGATTGTAAAGGAACACACTGCAGATAAACAGTTACCACGGCTTTAGATTGACTGCGGCGTGGCTTCCCATGTAGGCACGCGTATATCATGAATATGTATGGGCCAAGCGTATGATGCTGCATTCTAACCTCCATGAAATCCATTTAGGAAACCTAACAGGATCTACTTGACTTATGAAAGCTTACGATCAAATCTTATAAATATCCATGAGAAAAAAGTATTAGTTTGCTCTTTATATAGATGTATTTTGCATAAAAACTAACAGATTGCAATCAGACCGGCTGTTGATGTGTGTTGACGTGGACGATTTGAAAATCTGCAAACATTTTAATTTGTTCTCCATTATCATTCAGCACATTTAAGTGATGTATTAGCATTTCAGATAGACTAAAGGCAACAATCAGCCCGCTCTGTCCTTGATCACTCTGTAATTATCGTTCTTTCGGCTATGTGTTTAAATGAATAGAGAGGAAAGAGGTGTGGAGGAGGAATAATGTAATGTTTTACCACTAGGGGACCCACACAACTGAAAATCAGATCAGTTTTTTTAGTCTGTTGTTTAACTTTTTAAGTCATTTTTGATATAATTTTTAAGGTGTTTTGGGGTGCATAGGTTCAAAACTAATAGAAATATCTGTTTAGATGAATACTTTTAGATTTAACAGGTTTTGGCTGCTTAAAACATGTTACTGTTTTTTTTATTCTTAGCATGTACACTTAAAATATGTGGCGTTTCATTTATTCCTTTATTACTTTATGCTCAACAGTGCCTTAGGAGTGACAATTGTGAGAAAGGTCACATGCAACCTTAACAATTATGTTATATTACACTATTTTGCTGTATTTAAGATTAACATAATTGTTTTCTTTTTTACTAAAATATTCTACCCTCTCATAGTTTGTTATGTCTGAAGCATATTGATAGAATTTCTCTCTGATATCATTTGTATTGATGCTGTCGAGTAAATATCTCGCTGTAAACTCCTCACACAGATTAACTTCCGTCTGTCTGTGGTTTATGACGTGATGAAATTATTCAGGCCTCTGCAGCTCATCTTCATTTGTTCTTTATTGAAATTATTTTTATGTGCACATCGTCTTTGTTCCTACCCCCTCATATCATAAATAAAGCTTGATTTAAGTAAAATTATGATGCATTTGTATATTTTGTCCTTTTGTATGTGAAAAATCGGTTTTAAATGTAGGTCATAAATATGCAAGCCAAAAACAAAAAATACATTACAAACGATATTAAAGATATACACCACATACAAACAAATCATGAACAATTAAGCAGTGTTGTTATGCTTCAAAAAGCATTTATCGTAATGTTGAGATTCATTACTGCTGAGTTTGCTCTGGGATATTTTTATTTATTTATTTGCTTAGTTTTTTTTTTATACCATTGAGCCCTCTTTTCTTGTTGTTGTCTGAGCTTGTGGCATTCGACAGCTTGCGGATTATTTTGCAAGACTAAATGTAGCCCCAAACAACAAGACAAAATAGATGTCATTCTGGTCATCAGCACATTCTTTAGAATAAGACTGAGATGTTTTTGTGACATGACACAGCGTCCATTACTCTATATTCGGATTATTCAGCTGTAGGATCGATGTTTTTGTTTATGTCTGCTCTCAGAAGGTTGAATTCACTCAGTCGCAAAAGCCCTAAATTACAGGAACATTTTCTCTGCAGTAACTTTAATTAATATAAAGCATGTTTGTCAGTATTATTTATTTATTTATTTTTTGGGCCATTTTGTCCCATCAAAGGGAAGCTGAAGTATGTAAGCTTTATAAACATTTAAGGTATGAATTATTAATTGATTCGCATGACTACAATCTACTGTTTATACTCGATTAATTCAGTTTATGGAATATAAATAATTTTTTGCTTTGTATAATGAATATTCATTCAACTAATTAGTTTACCCTTCATGGTTGTATGGGTTGGTATTTAAACCCAGCTCAAAGGGTTATTTTTTTATAGGCTCAGCATTTTTAAGTCTGCTCCTTTAAAGGATTTTCCTCATACATGATGTCATGATATTCTATCATCCCTGACTTCTCTCAAGAACATAATGCTTTTCACCACAAATAAGATCAGTGGCATTAATCAATTGAAAATGTGCTGTATTAGCATGTTTCCCTCAATACGGGAAATGGAGAAGTTACATGACCAGTTAAAAGTTTGGACACACTTGACTGAATTTGTGATTCTCATGGTTTTGAAAGCCTTTTGCTTAAAGCATATATAAATATAAATATATGATTAACATGAATTTAACATGTATGGTTAAACAGGGCCATATGGTGAAGTAAAAGCAGCCAAAAAGTATCCAATGTTGCTTGAAAAGCATTGTGAAACTGGTTGAGCAAATGAAGGGTGAACTTTTTTAAACGTATTTTGTTCTCTATTAAATTCCTATACAAGGTAAAAATATTTTTTTCAAAGTTGTAAATAAAAATAGTGTGCACATTTCAGTGTACACTCTTAAAAATAAAAGTTCTTTATTAGCATTGACAGATTCATGAAGAACCTTTAAAAACCTTGGAACCTTTATATTGCACAACATGTTCTATACAATGCAAAAAGGTTCTTTAGATTATTAAAATATTCTTCACACTAAGAAAAAAACGTTCCATCAAGAACTGTTCACAGAAAGGTTCTGTTGGGAACCAGTTTACTCTACAACCCCCCCTTTGGAACCTTTATTTTAATTAGTGCATGTGTTAACTTCATTGATTCCTATTGTTCTAAAGTGTGGGAAATAATTTAAAAAATGAGTAGTGTGTCCAAATTTTTGACTGGCGATGTTGCTACAATTTCAAAACATTGTGACCTTTCAGCCTCACAACCTCTCAAACAGACAACTTTCCTACCTCTAGTCTAAACCTCACAATCTCCTGTTGAGTCTCACAGCATGTCCATTTCTAACGGAGAGCTGATACAGGCCACTAAGCCTCGTTACATTAATTACAGTCCTGCTCTGTATTCCTCCATATGTGTGAGGCTGGTTATCGCGTGTATCATTTCAGAGATTAATTTCAGGCGGGAGGTGAAGCACGCTGAGCTAGTGAAGTCTAACTGGCAGATATCTTTAATAAGGTTACACTATGGATGGGCTTTAGGTTGGTTTAAATAGCCGCCTATGAAATGTACCCACATCAGTGGCTCGCTGATAGAGGCTTAGCAATCTATTTAAAAACCAATTTATTTCCACAGTATTGGAGCTGGCGCAGATTGAACGCCAGAGTGAGATCCTCCACTTCCAAATTCTCAGTGGACACCTCTCATCCCATTCTGGTGCAATTGCTCTCTCTCTCTCTCTCTTCATCTCCTCCCCTTTATCGCTTCTCTCTTCACAAACTCTGGTGACTTATATTCCTCCAAGAGTGTTCAGTAAAAACCCTTTCAGCCTGAAAAATCCCCAACGGTGTCAAAATCACAGACTATACTGGAAAACACAGTTAAGGGCTTTCACTGACAGTAGGAAATTAAATTAATATTAGACACAAAAGGTATAAAATCCAGTATTTTTTATCTTGTTTTATATATTGGACACAAATGGTGTTTGTCTGTTTTTGAAGTGTGTGCACTGCAAAAAATCATTTTCTTAATATTTTTGTTTTCTGGTAAAATATCTTAATATCCTTAAAACCACATATATTTACTTGAAGCAATATTGCATATTTACACTTTGGCAAACTGTTTTGTCTTTTCAGATTGTTTAAAGGAAAAAAATATTTAACAAAATAAATGGGTAAAAAAAAGTGGGTAAGAAAAACAACCCATTATCCAAAAAAAAAAAAATCCTAATATTTTATAACATTTTTATTATTATACACACACACATGCACACACTTTCAGTGTAGATTTTTTAATATCTCTTAAAGGTCTTATGCTCGCCAAAGCTGCATTTATTTGATACAAAATACAGGAAAAAACATAATATTGTGAAATATTATTACAAATTAAAATATCTGTTTTGTATTTGAATATATTTTAAAATGTATTTTATACCTGTGATGGTAAAGCTGAATTTTCAGTATCATTACTCCAGTCTTCAGTTTCACATGATCCTTCAAAAATCATTCTAATATGCTTATTTTTGTCTTAGCAATTTTGAAAACAGTTGTGTTATTAAATATTTTTGTGGAAGGCATGATACTTTTTTAGAATTCTATGAGTTCAAAAGAACAGCATTAATTAAACAATCTTTTGTAACATTACAAATGTCTTGGCTGTCAGTTTTGATCAATTTACGCCATCCTTGCTGAATAAAAGTGTTTATTTCAGTTAACTTGTTTTGAGGATATTACTTTATCGAAATAACAAGTGAAATAAAAGACAAAGACAAAAAATACTGATTAAGAATATTTTTTTGCAGTGTATGTGTGGGCCTGTTCCAGTGGTGAAGAGAGTGATAATTGATTATTTCACTGTGCCGTTCATTCATCTCCCTGCTCACACACAGCTCTGTAAACTGCTGTCTCTCCCCAGACGCACACGTAACGAGGGCCAGGCCTCCTGCTACCTCTGAGCTATCACCTCAACGAGAGAGAGAGAGAGACTATGATTAATCAGATCTTCTAAATGCTGGCTACCCCCCAGAGAGGCCCCTTCAGAGTGAAGCTCTTAGGTCCCCACCTCCCGTAAACGCAGGGCATTCAATCTTCACGGAGAGCTTCATTGTTA